CATGATAAGACTCTCTCTTGGTTCTTTTCCTACCAATCTTTAGTCTTCTTTGCTGAATCTTTACCCAGGTTACACCCAGTAAAGATAGGTGTCCACCAGGGTTCTGCCCGGAGCCTTCTTTTTTTCTGCCTCTATCTTATTTCACTTAGAAATCTTACACGGTTTCAATATAATAACTTAGGCTACTTGGTTCTAATGCCCATAAACATAAAAGAAATGATGGACAGCTTATACTTTTCCACTGTCCTGACCCTATTTCAAACAGTTAAATAATCACAGCTCCTGATTGGTTGGGACCCTGGCCAACTGCAGCTTCAAGCCACATCCACCCCTGGGTCTCTGATTGTCAACTCAAACTCTCACTCAACTTCTGATCCCCATAAGGGAACTCCCCTCATCTGAGCCTAGTATTGGTAAGTGATCTGGGTGATTTCCCCCTCCCACATTTGAATATGATTAGGAATGCCCCCTCCCACATCTAGCATCGATTACCTGTTCTCAACCGAGCACATTTTTAAGGCATAAAATGTCCCTGCTCAGATCTCTACTCCAAATATGTACTCCCACTGAGATCTTTGTTGCTGTATCTCTCTCCTCCTTGAGATGGGTGAGTTTCTTTGCATTTATGGGGGCCAAATCTTTATCTCTCTGTATTGTTCTGTCTTTCTCTCTCTCTCTCTCTCTCTCTCTCTCTCTCTCTCTCTCTCTCTCTCTCTCTCTCTCTCTCTCTGTGTATGCTTTTTTGGGTTCTGCTTTCTGTGCCATATAATAAAGCTCATGTTTTTATTAGTTTTCCGAGTACTAATTTGCTATGAATCCCTGAACCCAGGTCTTTGTTTTAACTGGCACCATGAGGCCAAATATAGCTCTTTACTTTATTGATTATCTTCAATTTATCCTGAACATATCTTATTTGTACAAAGTTCTTCTCATGTTCTTCCCTATCAGATTGTGAGTTCCTTGAGAACAGAGACAACTCTTTCCTTTCTTTGTATCTTCAAGGTTTAGTACATCCTGGTACACAGTTGGTGCTTAATAAATGCTTACTGACTAATCTCTCTAGGCCCTTATTACCTCATCTGATAAAAGAGGAGTTCAGATTATAGGACAATAAGTGTGACTTTAATTCCTAGCAAAAGTCTAGAACATATCAAAAGGATGATTAATGAATATCTTCAAAAGGAAGACAGCCATATTATTTTCAATAAGAAAAGGTAATGCATGATATATAAATAGTTTACCAAGATTTTTAAGCAAAGCACTTAGCCAATTCTCTCATGTTATTCTTGTGAAAAAGATGAAGGATTTGGGCTAGGTGAAGGGTATAATTAGATGGATATGGAACTGGCTTTGTGGCTGGACCCAAAGAGTAATCATTAATGGTTAGATATTGACTTGCAAAGTCTCATAGGGATTTGCATTTGGTCTTCTACTGTTTAATGCTTTTATCAAGAATTTGGATACAGGAATAGATGGCATATTTATCAAATATGAAGAGAATCTAAGATTGGGGCACAGCTAACTCAGTGGATGACAGAATCAGATTAAAAAAGAATCTGACAGACTAGAATATTGGGCTGAAATTCAACTTTACAACACGAGATGGGGGAGGTATGATTACACAGTAGCAATTCATGTGAAAAAGATTAGGTAGTTTTAATAGTCTGAAAGTTCAATGAGTCAACAATGTGATACCATAGTCAAAAAAGCTAATCTTGAGCTACATGATATTCAGGACTAGGAAATAATAATTTTGCTTTATTCTGTGGCAGTTAGTCTATATCTGTAGTACTGAAAGACAACCAGAATGGTAAAGGACCTTGACATCAATATGAGGATCAGCTGAAAAAAACTAGGGATGTTTAGCCTAGAAGAGAGAAGACTGGGATAAGGCAAGTGAAAGGATGTTGTTCAATCATGTCTGACTCTATGGGACCCCAGACTTTGTCCATGGGTTTTTCTTGGCAAAGGTTCTGGAGTGGTTTGCCATTTCCTTCTCCAGTGTGTGACTGATTAATTGATCTCTCTAGGTCCTTATTTCCTCATCTAATAAGAAATGTGTCCGCCTTTTATAGATGAGGAATTGAGGCAAACAGGGGTTAAGTGACTTGCTGACGGTCAGGTAGCTAGTGAGTGTCTGAAGCTGGATTTAAATTCAGTATCTTCCTAACTCCAGGCCCAGTGCTGTAGCCACTGTACCACCTAGCTGCCCAGTGGAAGGGCTGTCACGTCGAAGAGTAATTAGACTCGCTCTTCTTGACTCTAGAGTTCAGAACTAGGAACAACTGGTGGAAGGTGTACAGATGAAATGTAGGCTTCAGGTAAAACTTACTGACAACTAGAACTATTGGACTGGACTGCCTCAAGAGTCAGCGGTTCCCCCTTACTGGAGGTATTCAAAGTCCATATAACCATTTGATGCAATATTATAGGCAATATGAGTATTCAGGAATGGGTTCAACTAATCTTTCTCTTGAGCTTCAATCTCACATCATCAATTGCCTTTTAGACATTTTCAACTCAATGTTTCATGGGCATCTCAAATTAAACATATCCAAAAAATGAACCCGTTATCTTTTCTCCAAATCCCCACTTCTTCAGGATATCCCTAATTCTGTCAAAGGTAATACCACTTCCCCCATTACCCAGGTGTACAGTCCAGGTGTCATCCTGGACTCCTCATTCTACCTCACTCTCAAATTCAATCCACTTGACAAGTCTTGCTAATTCTACCTTCACATTTCTCTTATCCATCCCCCCTACTCTCCATTTGCACAGACAATGCCCTAATTCAGTCACTCCTAACTTCTGGCCTGGGCTTTTACGATAGCCACCCTAATTGGTCTCCTTTTATTCAGTTTCTCCCACCTTCAATCCAACCTCCACAGAATGGTATTCCTAAAGCATGAGTCTTATCATATCACTCCCTTTTCTCAATAAACTCCAGTGGCTCCCTATCACCTCTAGGATCAAATATAAACTTTTCTGGTTGATATTTAAAGCCATTCACAACTTGGTTCCAATATATCTTTCCAGGGCTGTTATATGTTACTCCCCTTCATGCAGTCTTCAGTACAGCCAAATTGGCCTTCTTGCTCCTCACCCAGGATATTCAGTCTCCTGTTTCCATGCCTCATGCCTAGAATGTATTCATTCCCTCCTAACATGTGTCTTAAAAACCTTAATTTTCTTCAACTTTCTGCAGAAATACCATCCTTTACCTGAGGTCCTTTCTGATATCCCCAGCTGCTGGTGCACCCTCACATAACCACCTTGTATTTATTTTGCACATATTTTTGTGTTATCTTCCCCAAAAGAATGAGACCTTAAGGATAAGGACTATTCCATTTTTTTCTTTATATGCTCACCTCCTAGAATAATACCTGACACACAGTAGGTGCTTAACAAATGCTTATCAATTGATTGAGTAAACTAAATGGCTTTTGAAGTTCCTTTCAACTTTGAGATTGTATAATTCTTCCTGTCTGAGTCACTAGCTCCTTCTCTCAGAACTGGTCCAGAGAATCTTACCTTAAGCCCATATCGTATTCTTCCTCATCTTTCCTGATTCCTGAAACATCATTCAAGGTACCAACACCCAGAGACTTTACTGGCTTTCTTCATGGCCCCAGATAAGAACTTTACCTTTTTTTTCTGAACATATTAAGGCAAATTTGGGATTCTTCTAAATGGGCTCTTTGGACCCAGCTCCATTCCTCAAATTCTATGTTTACTCTCAGACAATCAAGAAGACTCATGATAAAATGGCATGCTTGTGACACTACGGTATACGGTATTGAGGTACTGCAGTAAAAAAATTCCTTAGCTAAGTAAATATTTAATACATTCTGTTACCCAAAGGGGTGGGGGAGGAGGGAAAGGAATCATAAATATGCAAATAAGCCAGTTCACATCACTTCAAAATCTGAACCCCTTAGCATGACATAGTTTACAACAAGCATCCCCATTTTTAGAGAGACAAATATAATTACCTTATTTGGCCTTACAATGACTGCATTAGATATGGGAAGCAGGTTTTACCATTCTCCTTTTTAAGAGACTTGAGACACTAAGACTAACTATATTAAGCATTTTGTTCAAGAGGCAAGTAGTAGATAGAGTGCTGAGCCTGAGTTAGGAAGACTCCTCTTCCTGAGTTCAAATCTGGCCTCAGACACTTATTAGCTGTGGGTCTCTGGACAAGTCACTTAATCTTGTTTGCCTATGTTACTCATCTGTAAAATGAGAAGGAAATGGCAAACCACTTTAGTGTCTTTGCCAAGAAAACCCTAAATGGGGTCATGAAGGATTGGACAAGACTGAGTAATAAATTTTGCTCAAGAATATATAATATATTCTAGTTGCTCAAATATCCTAATTATCAGCCTTATGTTTTATCCAATAGATTATGTTGTTGTTGTTGAGTCATATCTGACTACATGATCTCATGGACTTGTCCATGGGGTTTTCTTTGGCAAAGATACTAGAGTGCTTTGCCATTTCCTTTTCCAATATGTACCTATTTTATAGATGAGGAACTGAGGCAAATAGGGGTTAAGTGACTTGACCAGGGTCACACAGCTAGCAAGTCTAAGGCCAGATTTGGACTCGAATTTTCCTGACCAGGCCTGGTGCTCTATCCACTACACCACTTAGCTTAACTCAAGAGAATGTATATTGCCTTTAAAAAAATTAGTGCTTATATGAGCCTTCAGGCATTGAAGAACGTTATCAAATAACAAAACCAATCAGGTTCTAGTTGTATTGAGTATTATTAATTATCTATGCATCTTATATGAGAACAGAGCGTAATAACTTCATTGACAGTGAAAAGAGGAGAAAAACATAGCATACTATGTGAAAATATTTATTGTGTTTTTTGTAGTTTTATAGATGAAATTACTTTGTGGACTCAAAGCACAATATGAGGAAAATTTGCATTTCAAACAATGACGTTTCTTTTTGTCACTTTAGAAAGTTTTAAGTAGTAAACCACCTACCTTCTTTGGACAAATGCCACCCATTTTCTTATTGTGCTGATGAAGGTATGAGCCTGTCTTATGTGTTGATAATCCTAATGTCACTTTATTTTTTTCCACAATATCTTGTTTAGACTTCCTTGGTCGAGGCTGTGGTCCTGGCAAGAAGACATCATTATGGGAACTTGAACTCTTGATGTGCTCTGATAGACCTGACTTGTCTCCTATGTCACTACTACTCAGAAATGAAATTGACTCACTGTTGAGGTCACCACGTTCATAATTAGAGTTCAAAAATTCACTGCCCATTAATGTAACTGAACTTTGTGGGCTTTTCTCCAGGTCACTTTTTTCCCTTGACAGCTCAAACGAAGTTTCCTTAGAAGAACAGAGGAGATCCCAAGCAAAGCTTTGTGTGGAGCTTTCTTCAGTTAGCTGCAACCTTTTCAGAGTTGAAATTTCTCCTTCTTCTTTGTTATTCTTCCAGTTTGGGTCATAGCGAAGGTCTGAGTATTTGTCCACTAACAGTTGCTGACTGCCCAAAGCAGAAAAGAAATGTTGAATTTTTAAACAGATTTACCATAAGTTTCAGTTTAGTAATTTATCTTAAAATAACCATTCTTTTCTACCTTATTTCCTTTCAATATTTTTATGTCTGTCAATAAAGAGGCATCTTAGGTTCAAATTTAACCTACAAAGATAGCCTGAACTTCAAAGATTAATATTTTAAAGTTAACTTTCCCAGAAGAAAATAATATAGTGAACTTGAGTACCAAGAGCTCTTATTTATCCAAACATCTATATATGGAATAAAAATCTTACAATTTACTTGTAAACACCAGAAAACAAAACGCAGAAAGTAGAGAAAGGAATTCTGTAATAGTCTTTGCTACTGAATCTTTGTGACCTACAATAACCAAAGATAAATACACACTGACAAGGATTAAGTAATCAGTTACTATTTTTTTTAATATAGTATTTTATTTTTTCTCAATTACATGTAAAGACAATTTTTAACAATCATTTAAAAAAATTTTGAGTTCCAAATTTTCTCCCTCCCTCCCTTACCTCTTCCTTCCCCTAAGAAGCAATTTGATATAGGGTTTATATATATATATATATATATATATATATATATATATATATATATATATACACACATATATATACACATATACACACACATACACATACACACACACACACACAATCATGTGACACATATTTCCATATTGGCCATGTTGCGAAAGAAAAAAACAGACTAAAAGAAAAAAAATGAAAAAAATAATAAGGTGAAAAACAGTATGCTTTGCTCTGCATTCAGACTCTATCAATTCTTTCTCTGAATATGGACAGCATTTTTCATCATGAGATCTTTGGAATTGGAATTGTCTTGGGATCATTGTATTGCTGAGGATAGCTAAGTCATTTATCGCTGATTATAGTACAATATTGCTGTTGCAATCAGTTATTGTTAATAAAATTGTATTCAAATGATGATCTTAAAGCACTACTTTTTATACAAACATGTTCTTGTCTAAATAGGCAGAGTAAAATAGAGAACTGAGGTAATTAGCTGGGAAAACTTGCCCCAAAGTCTGATATTTTTAGGACAAAAGCAGCGTTATTGTTTTTACCAGAATAATCCATATTGTTTATTACAATGACTGAATTCCCTGTATAATTAATTCACACTTCATTTTGCCTGTGTAGATAGAATATACATGGATTTAAATCAAAACAAAAAAAGGAAATCCAAGACAAAACTGTGAGTGAACACTGAAAATGTCACACAAAACCTAGGTTTACTTCTTTTTTCAATTCAGCTTCTGCACTGTCAGTTCTAAACAAAGTACCCTGAGAAGGCAAGGCATACCTTAGCATCTGAACAGTTTCAGATAAATACAAAGTTAACTAAACAGTTCTGACAGAGGAAAGTTAAGCAATCTGTAATCTACTTAGAACTCAAGGTAGAGCTCTTTCTTCTTTTTTTTCCACAGCAATCTCAATTTGTAAAGTATTTCCTACTCCCAACCAAACAAGAAAAAAAATGCAAGTAGTAATATGGCATATTTAATGGCATCTTTGATCTTCAAAAGCAAAATGGGGGAGATTTTCCTTCCTTGAGCACAGTAGCTGCACTAATCAAAAAGAAAATGTAAATCTTCTAGGCCTTTTTGTGCCATCTGATATACTCATTTGCAGAGGACATAATTTTATGCTAAGTAAACAAACTAACGGTCTACCTAATACTAATTTACTCCCCTTAATGTGGACTTAGAATTCTTTTATTTGTTGCAAACTAAAACCTGGAGCAAAAAGCCAAAACTCCCAAGTCTTGCTCAATTGTTACTTAGAATTTTTTGTTTTATAGATGTATGTTAAGAAGCAAAACCCCAGAGAGCACTGAAATTGCTCCCCCCCCCCCACTATCTTAATGTATGGTGGAAGGGATTTAGAGGTTATCAACAACCACATTTTACAGATGAGGAAACTGAGTCCCAGAGAAATTATATGATCTGTTCAAGGTTAGACTAGTAGTAAATGTCAGAGCTGGGATGTGAACCCCCAAATTCTCTGAATTCTCTTATCTATGCTTTTCAACACATAAAGTCAATAGCATCTTCTACACTGAATACCAGCATTGTAAACTTTCCATTTTCTTGAAAATGAATGGTGAAAAAACTTTTACTAAAAAATTTGCTTCATTTTGCCTTTCATATTTTCTGTTCCCAATGCCATATTCAATTGTATCACCCCCTTAGACATGTATGATGGAGGTCATCAGCCTTTCCTATTAAAAGCAGGCAGAGATATCCTCTGCCCACTTTCTGTTGGCCGTGAAGACTTGAAGCCAGAACTCTGAGGATATACTAAAGAGGAAATCTCTGTTGCTCAGGACTCTTCTTCTTGTCAGCCTGGAAGTTGAAAGAACAAAGGAGATCTGAAGGGTGAGGATATTTCCTCCTTGCCAAACTTCCCCACCAGACCAACCCTGTGACATAGTCTCCTAAGCAAAACTGTGCCTGGGATGGGACCAATACAGGGCCTTATTAGATCTTGAAAGGCAGTTGCATCTTCTCCTCTTCTTGGGCACCAGAACACCAGGGATATTGGCTACTGGAGGAGTTAAGGCCACAACAGCAGCAGAAGCAGAAGTACACTGGCCAAGAGTAAAAGAGTTGCAGAGAGAAAGTGAAAATTGAAAGAAATAGCCTACTTGGCATAAATAGGACTATATTTGGTGAAGGTGAAATGTAAAATGGATAGTGAGTAGGCCTATTGGAAATATCCCAACAAGGCTTTAATTCTAACCTCTCAACTATAATCTTTCTATGATTCCCATTTATTGAATTTACACTCTTTCAGTATGTGATTAAAACTACTTATTCCATATCTGATTCATGTTTATACTGGGTTACCTTTTTTATTTCCTCATTCCTTGCTAGGGAAGACAACAGCCAAAAATAGAACTTCCCTAGGAAGCTGAAGTGGGTATAGAACCATAGCACGAAGACAGCCTTGTTCTGCTATTGAAGAGACAACAAGGTAGCCACAGGGGCACAAATGCAGGGCAAACCATGAGGGCAGGTAAAGGACAGAGACTGGGGAAAGGTCACCAGCACTTTTGGCCTCAGTCTATTGATGCTTATCTAGCCTAGTGCTAGACAACAAATAACTACTACTAAAATAGCATCAGCAATTTACATTTACATACAGATTTAAGGTTTATAGGTCCCTACTGTGTTCAAGGTACTGTGATAAGTGCTCATAACATACAAAAAAACAAATAAATAAAACAGTGTCCATTTTTTAGTAATATAATTTAGAAGAGATAAGGCATAAATACAACTAAAGTGAAAAATAGAATATAAATACATAAAAGTCCCAAAGGATGCAAAACAAGGCCAGCATACTTAAAAAAACAAGATACACAATAATAAGAATTGTATTTTGAAAGAAAAGGCAACAACTGTTAAAGTACAGAGATTAATTTGGAAGGTAGAATTGAATAGTTATATTATTATTTTAAAAGTTATATAATTATTTCTCCAAAGTGTAAATAGTTCAGATTAATTCCATATTTTACTTGATTGATTTGTTGAGAATGTTACTAAATTCATAACAGAACCATTTTTTAAAGGTATGGATAAGGTACAATAAAAGTTCACAGAAGAAAGGGATTACTTCTGATTGGGGGAACCAAGAAAGGTTTCATGAAATACATCTGAACTAAATTTTGAAGGATATACATGATTTAGTTAAAGCTTACACATATTTATTTTGTACTTACCATGTGGAAAATACAAAGAAAAAAAGCCAAAATAGTCTTAGTCTTCATTCTACTGAGTTTACATCCTACTGAGGGGATACAACATGCATATAAATAAATATGGTATACAAGTAAAACTGAGGAGGAAGAAAACACTGACCCCTGGAAAGGAGAAGAGGGAACATCCACAGGGAAGGTGGCACCTAATCTGAGGCTTGAATATATGATTCTTGTCTTCAAGAGTTAGGCAGGGGAAGGGAGTGTATGCCAAGCAAAGAGGGGCTGTTTCTGTGAATTAATGGAGGGTTGAGGTTGGAAAATAGCTAGTTGTTTATGAAGGACAGTAGTTTGAAATAAAGTCAGAAAGCTAGTTGTGAACTAGTTTGTACAGGACTTTAAATGCTAGGCTAAGCAGTTATTTTATCCCACAGGCAATGGAAGCCATTGAAGTTTTTTGAGCAGGGAAGTGACATGGTCAGACAATAACTTAGGATGACTGGGCAGCAGTGTGAAAGATGGATTGGAGAGGGAAAAGACTAAAAGCAGGAAAACCATACAGGAATTTTTAAAAATTAAATCTTTTTTTCAATTTCAAAGCATATATTTTCTCTCCCTCTCACATCACTCCCCCACCCTACTGGGGGAAAAAAAAGAAAGCAAAAATATTGTAACAAATATGCATAGTCAAGCAAAACAAATTTCCATACTGACGATGTCTAAAAATCTATCATTTGACAGGGATTGGGGAAGGTCACCAGAACTTTTGGTCTCAGCCTATTGATGCCTATCTAGCCTAGTATGAGGCAGACATGGCTACAGTGATAGGCCTATGGTGAAAATGAGTGCATATGGTATTTGTGATATGTGTGCTGCAAAATACCCACCCCTGATTTAGATGTGAAGCTGCCAGATAATTTTTTTAAGGTCTCTCTATGTTAAATACATGCAAAAGTCAGTTATAATGTTTCCTAATTTTTAATTCCAACTGGATGTCATCATCTGCTAAATCTGTTATGGTAATAGAAATTTCTGAATTCATTTTTGAAGCTATTCTTAGTTCTAATGGCAATGTTCAGTCAGATATATATACTAAACAAAAAGTGGTACCCTATATAATAGGTTGGCTTCTCTATTTTAAACATATTTAATATATTTCATCTAGCAAATAAGAGTTCTGATGTGAACAGTAGTTCCAATAATAATAACTGATATTTATATGGTATTTTAAAATTTGCAGAGCACTTTACATACAGTAGCTCATT